CCACTTACTCACTTGTAGCCATTGCCTCTGCACAAATCTACCATGAATCAAGCCTTGGGGCAGAGATTTTCCGTGAGTCATGGAGGGTCGGTGGTGATGGCATGGATGATCGATAATGATTTTAGTTTGGGTTGATGTGTGGTGTTGGGGTGGTGCTATAGTGGTGGGGGATGCCGTGGTGTTGCTGGCCAATGATTTTGAAAATGGGTGGTGTTGTCTTGGTGTTGTGGTGTTAGGGGTGATGTTGTGTTGCTGGGTGGTAGTTTTGAAATGGGTGGTGTTATTTGATAATGAAATTACAAATTTTAATTAGAGTAATTTGGACCTAAAAATTTAACATAATTTATTTACCTAATAATGTGACTTCATTTGAATCATTAGATTAACACAAAATTTCAGTATTTAATGGGACCCACAATCAATTTAAATGTCATAATGGATTATATCAACAAATTAGATTAGTAAATTAATGAATTTAATATTAATTAACATATTAATGAATTTGATTACTAATTAACACATTAATAAAGATGATTATAAATTTCAGAATTGTTTAAGTTAATGATTACATTCTTAATTTGTTTGATTAATTAAAATATATGATTTTTATATTATAATTAAAGTTAATATAAATGTGGAAATGTATTTTTTGAATATAATTCCATTTGAACTCTTCATAATTCAAAGGGCATTCTTAGTATTATAAGAAATTATTTTGATGCCATTAGTGTTGACTGTTAGTCTTCTCAACATCCGTTAGTCGAAGGGGTGTGAGAGTTAAAAAGTTTCATATGTCAAGGGATTTCAGCATAATTTTTGAAATATAACGAGATGTCCATGAAATAAAATCAAATGGCAGAATGGTGCGAGTGATATTTACCCGATCTTGTATTAATTTGCACATTAATTTTGAACATTAGTAGTGTCATATGCGATTGGGTTCGTCAATCGTGTCAGGTGAGCAGGGATTCGTGTCGGGTCTTAGCAAATTTTTGTCAAATGTACTCCACCCATATTCAATTTTTTTATTAATTCATATTTAATGAGTCATATCATATCATGTTTATGTTGTATTGGATCCACTTATTTTTGAAATAGATGACTTAAATAAAACTCAAACCTTCTAATTTTATGTCGTGTTAACGAGTCGAATCATATTTTGACACTCCTATATACAATGTATGATATTTTCAATATCTTTCAACAGAATTCTACCATCCCTCCCTACTGTCACCCCCACCTCCACCCCATATTGCAACCACTCATTCTCAACCCCGACTCTGATATGCTAAATTAAGGAGGATAAAAATTTTAAATTTAAAATAGTTTTGTGAGAGTAGTTATATAAGGTATATGAAATAATTTAATTTGATGAGATTAATACATTGTTATTAAATAATTTACTATAAAAATATAGTACTTGATGAGAAAAAGTAGATAAGTGTAATAATAGTTTGAATGAGGATATGCGTATAGTCAAAATAAGTTTCCGCGAAAGTTAATAACTGATAAACGATGAGAGCCTATTATTTATAAATTAAAATGTATTTAAACAATTAAAAATTCTGCCAATTAGTATCTAATATTTGGGTCTCATATAGCCAATTTAAATAGGATATAGAGATGCGCTTTTCAAATTTTCAATTTTATTTCTACTTCTTCGCTATACAAAACCTAGTTTCTTTCAATTTTTTAAATTGCAAGTTGCATAAGGATATCAAAATTATCGTTGATTTCTTTTGAATTTAGGCTCAACTTTCTATCCGATCAACTCAGTGCAAATGCTTGACCGCCTTTCCCATCATTGAAACACAAGCTTCTCCGTATGAATGCTTTCAAATGAGATTCCATCTAGCGTCAGTCGAAACGAATGCGATTCTATATACAACTCTTTGTAGAACTTTTCAACCATTAGTTGAATCACTTCCACATCCTCTTCGGGAATGGCCCTGCAAAATCTTGTTCCAATTGTTTTGGAGTAAACTATATAAATCATGTACTATCATTGAGTAATGTCAAAATCACAATCAACCAAATCATCTCCCATCAGTCACCTATAAATGAATCAACCAACAATGCTTAATTTCTACCTTAGGATGAACGGGAACCACCATTACTAACATCCAAGAGCAAACCTTGTGATTTTCATTTTGAAAGCGATAATTTATTAGCTTTCAAAACGTTTAAATCTTTAATATGGTCATTGTAAAGATCAACACCGAGGCTTAGTTGCAATCAACCAACAACAACTCAAGGGTATGTTTGTTTCATTGGATTTGGGTGAGATTTATAAAATGAGTTTACTTAAAATAGTCCAACAGATTACATTATCCTTGTTTGTTTGTAGATTCCAGGCCTAAGATTTAAATTCTAGTCTATAAGTAAAACCCATGTATATAGGTTTCAACAAATACATGCTGGGTGGGTTTAGTCAATTTTATAGCTGATGATGCACAAAAATAGATTATGCACAATCAATAGTTGAGTGTGTGATAAAATGTAATTAATGGACAATTAATAAAGCAATCAATGATAATAATGTAAATATCGGGTCAACACATAGATATATATTGGTTCGGTTAGAGTGACCTATTCTACTCCGAGAAACGGCAACGGTAGCGGGGGACCTTTTATTGAATAAGTTAGGTGAACGAAAGAGAGAGCAATGGTTAGCCTCGAGAGGAATACAACAGGTAGAAGAGAGAAAAGTTATGTGTGGGGTGTGTAGAGAGGTGTAGAGATGCAAAAAGGTGCCCCTCTCATGTGAAGAGAGCTTACAATTTATAGGCACAAAGCTTTGGTTGAGACAGTGACGTGAGGGTAAAGACACTAGTCTTTCGGAGAGTACAACTACAAAAGGTAAGTACAATTAAAGTTTGCTTTGTTCTTCGAAAGTGTATATCCTAATAATTATTCCCTACGTGTTATAATCTTTCTGGACTCCTTGAACTCTGGATTAAACCGAATCCATGAATTGAGCTTGACCCGCCTTGTAGCTGATTTGGGCCTAGCTCATTAATTGGGTCTGACCCAATTAAATTTGGGCTAGTCATTCCCCCCCCCCCCCCCCCCAAATGCCCCAAGCCCTAGTAGTGATTGGGGGTTGAGGACATGAGTGAGCTCCTTCCTTTGGGTAAAACATATATCTTATTCTATATGGTGGCTTTTTTAACTTTCCATCCATGGCATTTTTGAAGCTTATTTTTCTATTTGGTAACGTCATTGTTGGAAAAAGGATGAAGAGAAGAATGGACGCTTTGATGCATGGAGATGGAGATGCTTTGGCAAGTGGCACTATGGGTATGAACTTGGGCAACGCCAGGCATAAAACTAGGCAGTGCCACAGGCGACACCATGGAGGACCCAAACAAATTGATGATGTCTTTGGTTTATGAAAATTCTCTCTTTCACAGGTGGTCCCGTGGTTGATGGATTAACAACGAAGGCTTTCTACGGCACTAGGATGATGACTTTCCCTCCTCCTAGAAGGGGTGAGATCTAATATCCCCAATGCTTCCCAGCTAAGGTCTGACGGTCCTGCTGTTTCTCTGAAGATGGGGTTTGATGCCCCCCAGTGCTTCACATAATTATCCTTCTTAATGGCTTGGTGTCCTTGCTGCAGAATGTGAATTTTGCCTAAGGAGAGGCTTTGGAGATTTGTGACACCCTTGGATGTTAGCTCTCAGGGTCTTAAGGGTATCATCGATACCGAGATAAAAGACTTTGCTATGGTACCCCACCTTTTTGTGGAACCCTCACTTATGTATGCTTGGTCATGCTGACATTCTGGCTTTGAAAATTTGCAAATGACTGCGACTTTTTCGTATTTTTGAGGACGCTCAAACTCAACGAGGTGTCGAGAGTTTTGGTGGAAGAGAGACCTGAGCACCAGGCTGCAGTTGAGGTTGGCTCATGAGAGGCAACAAAGCATAAGTTGATGTTTATGTATAAGCACAGGCTAAGTTAGGCCGAGTTTGTGGCGACTCCCGAGAGTGCCACTAAGTTGGAGACATAGGCTGCCTGCTTGAGAATAGTGCAGAGATAGGCCAAGTTTTTGGCGACCCGAGAGAGAACCGCTAAACTGGAGATATAGGCTATCTACTTGAGAGCAAAGCATAGACTAAATTTTTGGCAACCCGTGAGAGAGCTGTTAAGTTGGAGACATAGGTTGTCTGCTTGAGAGCAAAGATAGGTTAAGCTTTTTGACCACTCGCGAGAGAGGTGCTAAGCTGGAGATTAAAGCTGCTTGGGAATAGAGGTAAAATTAGGCTGAACTTCCTGGCGACTAGCGAGAGAGTGCAAAGCTAGAGATATAGATTGATTGAGAGCAGGGGCAAGATTAGGCTGAGCTTCCTGGCGACTCACGAGAGAGTGCAAAGTTAGAGATATAGGGTGCTTGCATGAGAGCATTATTGGACATTGAGGCATAGGCAGCGCTGAGCGCTAGGACGCGGCCAGTGTTGGGTCTTCCCTAGTCGAATTCAAGGATTCCAATTAGCTCAAGGATTAGAATTAGTTCAGCATTGCAATCCATACGAGGCTAGAGAACAAATGTTTTAGATGTTAATTCTTATTCTTACTGCCTGCTCGATTTTGACTACCTTATACAAACAAAGATGATGGCGGGGGAGTTTTGGTGCACCTGCAAGACAAGAGAAAATCTAAGTGAACCAATAGCCGGAGGCGGCTAAAGGGATTCCGACGCTTAAGTCAATAAACAAATCGAAGAAAAAGTATATGGTGAATAGGCTAGAATTCTATGATATACATGGTACTCAAAACCTTTATTTATAATGGTATAGGAAGCGGTGTTCCACATGAACTTGAATTTAATGTTGTGATATGATAGACCTCATCACTAATCCCCTAGACGTTCGAGGTAGATTCTATTAGGACGTTGAGTCTTAAATTGTAGGATGAGATGTTCTCGCCAGGAGACGTTGTTTATCAACAGTCCTTTGATACTCAGAGTAGAGTTTCAATAGGTTTCTAGGTCCCAGGTCAATCCTTAGCCAAGTAACAAGTGGGTGTCATTGGGTGCTGACCGCTGTAGACGCCGAAGAAGGAGACGCCGATGAGGGAGGGGCTGGCCTCGTTGGCAGCGGCACCCTAGGCACAAGCGTCGATGGAGAAGGCACTACTTCGAGTCACTTAGGCAGCGGCTTAGGTCGCTTAGGCGCTAGGCATTGACTGTTGGATATTGACTGTTGGACGCTAACACTAGGCACTAAAGCTAATCGCTAGATACTGGTCGCTAGCGTTGGGTATTGACTGTTGGACGCTAGCACTAACCATTGGATATTGATCGCTAGACACTGGCACTAAGCATTGACTGTTGGGCGTTGGCGTTGGGTACTGATTGTTGGGTGCTGACACTGACCACTAGGTGGAGTACTAAACAATAATGAAGAAACAACAAAACTTCAGACAACCATAACTTTGCGTTTGGTTGACCATTTGAGGCGATTTTTTTAAAAAATTAGGGTATTCTTTCAAGATCTATGACATGAGCACCAAATTTTTTCAAAAAATGCTTTTTTAAATAGAATTTGAGTTTTTAACCCCAAATTAATGAAAAAGTAAATTTTGCATGTGTCTACTTTTTGCCGATAATCGTCATAATATGGTGGATCATCTGCCGCTTGGTGGTTCATGAATCTGGTTGTTCTTGTCATTGGGGGTAGGAAGACTACAATGAGAGAATCAAATTGATTCTCACAGACGATGTCAAACTGATGATGCACAAAAATGAATTATGCATAATCAACAGTCAAATTTGTGATAAAGTGTAATTAATGGACAATTAATAGAGTAATTAATGATAATAATATAAATATTGGGTCAGCACACAAATATATAGTGATTCAGTTCAGATGACCTACTCCACTTCGAAAAACGACAATAGTGACCAAATGACCTTTTATTGATTAAGTAAATGAATGAGAGAGAGAGTCCCAGAAAAGATACAATAGTTAAGAGAGAGAAAAGCTATGTGTGGTGTATATAGAGAGGTGTAGAGATGCAGAAAAGTGCTCTGTCGTATGGAGAGGGTTTACAATTTATAGGCACAAAGTCTTAGTTGAGATAATGACGTAAAGATAAATGCACTAGTCCTTTGGAAATGATAGCTACAAAAAATAAGTACAATTAAAGATTGTCTTAATTTTTGAGAGTAAATATTCAATAATTACTCTCATATACTCTAATCCTTTTGGACTCCTTGAACTTTGGACTGGGCCAAATTCATAAATTGGACTTGATCCACCTTTGTCGCTGATTTGAGACTAACTCATTAATTGGGTTTGACCCAATTAAATTTGAGCTCGTCAATAACAAATATTTTATAATATTTGTGATTAATCTGTAAATCCTATATGTATCTATGTCATTTACCGAATATGAGATTATATATGATATATTGTTTAATTCCATATACAAAACCTATGGATTGAATTTTAAAATTTTCATAAATCCAATTCAATCCATCTAGTTTAAATTTTGATCAAGTATAAATTACTTACTGTACAATTTAAAATATTCAAATTAGTATCATGTCGTTTTTTTAAAAAATAAAGGAATCGATGTGTTATTTTGACAAAACTCAAAGGATCCAAGTGAAATTTAACCTTAAATATTTCATAAAATGACAATCACAAGCTGCCAAACACAATGACTAACAAATTACATGGGGTCTGACCTACATCTAAATAGCCCCCGTAGTCTGAAAATACCAAAGAAAAAACCAAACACCCCGTTTTTAGATATGAAAATGACCATTGAGCGAATATACTACAAATAACATCTTCAATAACCAGCAATGCAGCACGTACGTTACACATAAATAATTTTATACAAAAAAATAAAATATATTAGTTATCTATGAAATACAGATACTTCGTTGAAATCGACGTACTCGTATCAAATATGAAACTTGTCGGATATTCGAGAATACATATTAGATACACCTCCTACGTATCCGATAATATTTAAATATTAGGATACTTTACAAATACTTTTATATTCAAACAACATATATAATTTTTGGATTCAATTTTTAACATTTCCTTTCAAATTAACACATCATAAAATATATTAACAAAAATTCATACTATTTCAAAAACACATGAGTATTTTTTAAATATTATCTACAATTACAACTCAAAATAGCATAAAATAAATCTACTGCATTATAATCTGAACAAAAATTACTTCTAAATAAACTTGACTCGATAAATATTAACTTTGATTCATTTAATTAATCACTTCACATTGTGAATATACTATAGTAATACGATATATATTTTCTTAAAACTAAAAAAAATTACTAATTTTCTTTATTGTATTAAAGAATTACCAAAATAGATAAGTATTAAATTGGTTCAAAATAATAAAGATATTAAATATATTTTATTGTTGTCGTATCGCCGTATCCGTATCGTATTGCTTATATCATCCATATCCGTGCTTCATAGTTTATTATATATATAATTAACAATGCACCACGTGCGTTGCACATAAATAATTTTATACAAAAAAATTAAAATATATTATATATATATATATATATATACACACACTAGTCATAACCTGTATCTGAAGGCACGATAATTCTAACACCCAAAAAATCGATCCCACTATATTAAATTTTTATGTATATACTATCTTATATCAATAATGTTTAAAATAAAAATTATATTTACTACAAATTAGTCAAATATTAAATGATTAAACATACGATAGAAATAATAATGTGATATTTTTAGGAAAAAATTATATAACTGATTAAACATGTAATAAAAATAAGTTATATGACATTTTTAAGGAAAAAAATATGTAAAATATAAAAATTCAAGGTGATATGTATTTTATTATATATATATATAATTTTTAAATTTAATAAACTTAATTTTTCATTGCTCATATTCTATTGTAAAATTATAAAAAATTTATATATTTCTAAAATTCTTTGTTTTAACTGTATAAAATAAAAGATTAAAAAATAGTTAAAATTCTATTTTTTTAGAATTTTGTGATTAATAATGTTTTTTTAGTGATCTTTGAGAAATTAAATTTTTTAAAATTCATTTTATTAGAATTTCACCTATAATTCCTTGAATATAATAAAAATATTTATCAATATAATAATTATATTGAAACTTTATTGTAATTAAAAATTGGTTAGGTGAATTAAGATAGAATTTAATATACTACTCTATAATATATATTATCAGGTATATTAAAATTCTAAATAAATTAAATTTTACTTAAAAATATACGATAATATCTATTTTCACTTAAAATCTTAATACAGTTTAAAAAATTTATTGTGATCAAAAAATTATACTAATGTCAAGTAAATTGATTTTAGAAAAACCATATATACAATTATTTTTTAACTTAGAAATGAAATGATTAAAATTTTTAGTAAAAGAGAAAATACACATATAAAGGCATAATGTTATTTTTACATATGAGATAATTAATATTAAATTAATAAAAATTTTGAAAAATTTTTAAACACTTTATTGAAAATATAATGCTGCATACTTTTTAAAAGTAATATAGTCAATCAATTTTTTTTATAGAAATTGATATTTGTATATAAAGAATAAATAGATAATTAAAAGATATGTTAAAGATAATTTAGAAATTTAAAACCAAAGATGATAATTTAGATATTTAATTGTGAAATGCTAAAATTATCTTTGTAATTCATTATAAGGGTAAAATAAATATTCAAAAGTTTTTCATACTAAAGTATTTTCATACTAAAGTACATTAGTATAGATACACATTCTACCACAATAAAGCGCTGGACATATTAGAGCACCAAAATAGACCCAAATAGATGCAGCGCTTAAATCAGAAAGATATTTTATAGAATGTCTCCTGAGCTTTAAACATATGATCACCACGACCAGGAATTTAATGGTGGAATCGATCAAAGAAGGCAACTACTACTCTGTTCCTTGCATGTGCACCATCATATGCTGAGCTTGCGACTGCAAATTTTCCCAAAACAGATATAATTAAAGTGTCAAATCAGATCCAACAAACTCAAGATACCAAGCAAGAGCATCATAATAATTTGGTTCACCCACTTCAGTGACACACTACAAGTCATAAAATCGTGGAATCAAAATAATCCATTACTTGCAACAAATTCAGCAAAGATTTAAACAAGTTTAGTGATGACAGTCTCCTATATACATTTAACAATTTAGATATATATTGCAATTTCATTTTCTCCTGGGTAGGGAACCCTTGCATGATGCATGTCCAGCATTTAAGGACACTGGAATTCATGCCACCTTTCACTGTGCTGAGACTGCCACTGCAGGGCCTTTTTTTTTTTTTTTTTGGGGTGAAGGGGAAAAGAGAGGGAGGGAGACTTGAACCTTAACCTCAAGAAGGCAAAACCTTCGTAAAATAAGGTAAGCTATGATTCCCCCACTTTAACCGTGGAAATTTCCAGAAACTAAACTGCCTTGTTTTAAAACTGCCCTGTTCACTAGTGTAAAAATTCATCCGCCTGTACTTCTCTTCAGGAAGCCAAAAGTTTGAAGCACATAATGCCTCCACCACCAGAAGCTCAAGTGAAATCGCACCACGCACTTTTGTAGCACTCAATACTCGCTAAAAAGGCAGATTCAAAAATATTCATGTTCTATTATTCAGTAGCCTTTTGAATGTATGAATAGAGTTTACCAACCTAATTTTACACCTAAAAGAATTATGAAAGAAGAGGGTGTTCAGGACGGAAATGAGATCAAGGACACAGATTGTGGCTACAAGTAGCATCAAGATCAAGGAGAAATTAGATTTTAATGTGACAATAGCAGGAATGAAAGACGCATAATTTGCAGTAAGTTGCAATTGGAAGCAGGGATACGGATCTGAAAATGTATTAAAATTCCATGGACTTCAAATTCTTTGTTCTATAGTAATCTACTGCTCATAAAACAACAGCATTTATGGGAGAACTTCAAGAGGTTGAAATAGATTATAATGCAGTTGAAAGCACCAGAGACTAAAGTCATAAACCACTCACAGAACTTACCCATCAAAACATCTCAATCAAGATCACATGATTCATAGATTTATTTGTGGACGACATCAAAAACACCAAATTGTGGTATGGAAAAGAAGAAAACAACCACTAGAAACCTGCATGTTTTGGTTATAGCCCATTCAAAGCAAAAATTGCAGAGAAAATGTGAATAAAATGGATTAGCTATGGGGCTGAACCAGCTTTGTAACTTGTAAGGATATAAACACCCCAATCGAATTTCCACTCTGTAAACGACCAATATTTAAACCCCTGGTGTCCACACACACATGCACACACTGAGTATTGACAGAGCCATGGCTTCAGAGTTTTGATCATCCAGCATATTCTGGACATTTAAGGGTAAGGAGACAGGTCAGGAGGCGGGAGGTTAAGAGAGGATTTCAAATAACATCCAAACTGGTCGCTAGATGAGTAACAAAACCAGAAGGTCGCTATTTGAGCCAAACTCACTATCAAAATCAACATCGTGATTTTATACAATTCTCCACTCTAAAATTATCCACACTCATTATCACACAGAAAAAGTCAAAAGGAATATTGTGGAAGATTGCATAACCAAAACCCCCCACCCCCAACGCAGGGTAACAGGGCAAACAAGGAGAGATAGAGAGAGGAAAAACCAAACACAACTCTCGAGCAGCCATTAGAAACCATAAACTAAACATTAAGGAAAGCCTCAAATGAAACAGTTCCCATGCAGCATGGGATGCTGACTGGTACACAATTAGATAAGTCAATGCAAACCAAAGAAAACAAAATGAAGAAACACTACGTAATGTAATCAACTTGAAGGCGGGAGAAAGTAACCACTGCAATTTGCAAGTCCAGATTTGGGGCACTCATAAATAACCTATACTGATGTTTAAATCCCAAACAATTCTAGCACTTGCACAAACTTGAAAGGATAGAGAACATCACTTTACTTCAATTGATTAAAATATGCACACAAATTAAATGCTGCAAGCCTTTTTTTTTTGGGCTATAAAACTCACAGTATACAACTACCCTTATGGACAGTATGATCACAACTTGATATTGACATGCATAATCTAAGGCTAGTCGTTATGGGCTTATAACTATGTATCATGCACCATATGCACTTGCACACAGAGACATTTATATATACATGTGTATATACACATAGGCATGTGTGTGTTTGTGTGAGAGAGAGAGAGAGAGAGATTACCTGAGAATTCCCATAGTTCAGAGCTTGTGAAAATGAACCTTGATGGGCGAGCTTTATAAACAATGCAGAAAAGAAGAAGCGTGACAAGAAAGGGAAAAATTATACTCCAGACAAACAGCGAAATACAGTAGGGGAATGAGGGGCATAATAACATGAAATCTGCAACATTGTACCTGAGCATTAGGACTAGGTTGTACCCCATCTTTTTTGGCAGGCCCATCTCCCCCCTTTGCGGATCCCTTGGTGTCACCCTATCACAATGGTGAGTAGAAAAAAATTGAAAATACAACAAACAAGCCAGCATTCAAACCATTGTACAACTTCAAATAACAACATTAACTTACCTCCATCTGCAACATGCCCGCCCAATGCAAAACAGAACCAAACAAAAACCCAATCCATTAGTTTGACATGCTAACCGAAAACATATATAAGTCAAAAATCAAATGTCCAAACACATTGAGAAAGATAGAAGTGAATAAAAAATACCTCTCTGTATCTCGTCAAGTACACCTTGAGAGGATCAATATAGTCTTCAAAACCTAAAGTCGCCATTGCCCACAACAGATCATCCCCATTAATCGTCTTCCTCTTCTCTCTCTGGCACTTATCACTTGCCCTTCACATTCAACCCCAAAAAACTATACATCATACAATCAACCACAACGCAGTCACATGCGTACTCAAATACACACAAACATTAATTTATCAGCCTGCAGTTAAATTATTGACACTCTCTCGCTAAATCAACCAGAAAACAATTATACACATGAACATATACACAAACATTTACGCATATGAATTATCGTATTCATAAAACAACAGAAACTGCTTAAGCAGAAAATACATTTATCACTCGCCCTGCACATTCAACCACCGAAACGGTATTCAAATACGTTTGACACTCGCCCTCAATCAAACAGAGCACATATATGCATATAAATAATTCACGTAAAAAAGTGAACACATACTCGCTGGTGACGAAGCTGATGAACTCTGACACGCACTCCTGAACAGTCTCCTTCGCATCCTTGGCAATCTTCCCATTCGCCGGAAGCGCCTTCTTCATGATCCGACTGATATTCGCGATCGGGAGATACCTATCCTGTTCTCTAACATTCGACCTGGGACTCTGGTCTCCACTCTCATGGCTTCCACCACCAGGACTCGCAGGAGCATCGGCCATCGTCACCGAAACCCTAGGTCAACAGAAACCAAACACCAAAAAAATTGCGGGACCAAAAATCAATCCAAGGAACAACCATAGCTCTCGATCCGCAACCAAACCCTAACTCCGCCATGTATAGAGACAAGATTGTGTACAGTATAGATAGATAGATAGATAGAGAGATGAAAATGAGGAAAAAAAAGTGGAGTGACTTACCAATAGGGTGGGTTTGTGTGTGAGAGAGTATTTGTATTTGGGCGCGAGAGAGAGAGATGGAGATGGAGTGGAGGAGGAGAGAGAGAGGGGAGATCGGACGCTGGAGAAGAGGGGAGAGAGGAGACGACTGAGATGGGAGTTTGGTTCTATCAACACCGTTGGTTCCTTCTGCGGCTTTTTTATGAGTAAGTTGAGTGCATTGTGTTCGTGTTTTTCTGTTCTGGGTACAAGGGTTGAGTCGACCATTTGTCTCTCGCCGTCTCTCTTTGTGCCAGTACCACTACGATGTCGTTTCTATCAATTGCCACTACATAAAAAGTTAGGGCGTAACTTGGGCGGGTAGAACGGGTTGAAAGGTCAACTTTAGTTTAGTCTTAGGTATATAATCTTCAACTCTAATCCGACCTCATCCTGAGTATTGTTCGAATTTAATTCGGGCAAGCTCGGGTTGAATTCGAATTATTTAATTTGGGCTGGTTTCGAGTTGAAAATCAAATTTGACTCGAGTTACTTAATTTAGATTGATAAAAGAGAGAAGAGTGACGAGTTGAGAGTCTGAGACGAGACTCAGACGAGTGAAAGAGAGAGATTGAGAGTCTGAGAACAGATGAAAACGAATAACAAGTGGGAGAGGGATTTGAGAGTAATAGAGGCGTAATGGTGAAGACTCAAAGTGAAGTGAAAGTCTGGACTCTGAAGAGTGAAGATAAATTTTAACCCTAGTTAAATATTTGGGTTCAACCCAATTTTAATATTCAGATTGAACCTGACAACTCGAGGGCTCAATCCGAGGCTTGCCCGAATTCAATTCGAGTTGAAATTTTTTTGCTTAAACTTAATCCAAGTATTAAGAATTCGAACTCAAGCCCTTTTTTTTTTGAGTTGGGCTTGAGTTGAATTTGGGTTGACTTACTTCAAATTGCACCCCCTACCATAAAAGGATGAAAATTTCGTTTTATTTTAGTGAACAAAAAACCAATATGTCATTGAATCGAATTTTTATTGTTTTGAAGTATTTTGAGATATTTCAAGATATTTTTATTAATATTTATAAGGAGAACTGGTGACAAGCTACAAAGTTGTATATATTTTAAGGCGAGAGGTCTATTCTGTAAATTTTTAAGATAAGAAGTCCATATAATATACAGTTCACAAAAACATCCTTATTTATTTAAGACAATTACTGTGAAACGTCACTTCTAAAAAATGACATCATTTCCCAGAAAATCATATCGCGCCCAAATGATTCACTCAAAAACCTTCCTAATTCAAATTTTTTCAGTACAAATCTAGCAACAGATCCACAAAAAAAATTGATTTTATAGAGAACCTTTACCAAAACATTTGTTCTTCGACAAGCTAATACAAAAAATTTGAATTTCCAAGAACAATCATGCACAACTTCAATCAACTGCTATTCTGTGGTTCCTAAAAGAAGATTTTGTCGTAGTGAATCTATACTATACTACTAATAAAAGACAATTAAGTAAAAAACTTTTGATTATTAAATATGTCCTTGATTATTATAGTAAAGTTCATTTAATTCATGATTCAATAATTAGCATAATTATAATCAATTTCAATTTTTGACCCTACGTATTTGGGGACTAATTTTCTAATTGATATATGAATCAACTATCAATTAAGTTTAAATCACTTCACAGACTCTTTAAGTTCTAAGAATTAATTTTCAATCAATTTGACCTCTTTATTTTCTCCATTTTTTCACACTACAAACCGATACAAACTGTATGAATTCTTTTTCCATCAATGATCAATGTATTAGATAGTAACGGAAGACTTTTCATTCAAATATCAATATTGTTTGTCTTTTAAGTCTATTTTATTATTTTAGCATTTTTTTTCCTATTAAAGGGAAAGAACATTCTAATAAAATATGAATCTTGACCATTTAACTGTTAATGTTTATTTATTTTATTTTTGCAATAAGAAAAGTGATCGACAACTTTAATATATAATATTTTATACAAAAAAAAAAAATATACGTGCAACACATGTGGGCAACAACTAGCCATTTTAAAATATAAGATTTCAAATAAGTGGTTTCCATTACTTCGACTTGTTTCTTCGCTAGGGTTTCAAAGAAATTAATTTTCTTTGTTTTGATCAACATACACATCACAAAAAGGTTTGTTCACAACACATAATTGGCATAAAATAACATAAAAATAACCTCGACAATTTGTTTATTGACATTCACCTAAATAACACAAAATATTTATAATTTTAGTTTAATATGGTGAAAATATTTTTATAGTTTACTGAATTAATACACCAATTGTATAGTGAATATGTAACCCTAACATTTTTCAATGTAATATAACTTTTTTTTTTTTTAGTATCATTAAACCAAATGTCCATTGGTTCAATGTAATATAACTAATATAATATATGTATATTTAATGGTACTAGCAATGTACCACGTGCGTTGCATGTGAATAGTTTTCGTACACAAAAATAAATAAAAAATATTAAGTGTATGTGCACCTAAATTAAATATCATCTTAAATTTATCTAACTTATTTTTTTATCTCTCATACTTTATTATATGAAAACTTTGTATGTTCTCAAGATTTGTAATTCTAATTATAAGAAAAAAGAATAAAAAATAGTTAGAGTTCATTTTTTTAAAAACATTTTGTGATTGGGAGTATTTTTTGATGTTTGAAAAATAAATTTTTTTGAAATGTATTTGATTATGATTTCACTTATAATTCATTTAATAAAATAAAAATAATTGTTAGTATATTAAATATATTGAGAACTTTACTGTAATTAGGAATTAGTCAGGTATATTTGGAAAAAATTCAATATATTACTTTATAGTATATATTATAAAGCATATTAAAAATATATTGTAATTTATTTTTACACAAATTCTTAATACAATTTGGAGAATTTACTATAACTGAAGAATTATGTTGATGTGACATAAATTGATTTAAAAAAATTATATATATGATTATTTTTTGATCTAAAAATGTAAGGGTTAAACTTTTCAATGAACTTATAATATGCATGTATGTGCATTGATACAATGTTATCTTTGCATATGAAATGAATAAATGTTTAGATTGAGGAAGTTTTTCAAAGATTTTTTTAACTCTTTATGGAAAAGAGTAATACTATTTGGAACTAAAAATTTGTCCTAATTTGTTGACATAATGATATAGTTTCAATGAAACCATTGGATCAACACCAAGTTTCAATGTTTGATGGAGCTCACAGTCAATCCAAAGATCATAGTGAATTAAGTCATCAAATTAGGTCAATAAATTATTTCCTTATTGCATTACTCTGTTGAAAATTTTAATGGTGTATATTTTTTTAAGAGTAATATTGTCAATTCAAAAGTTTTATAGAAATTGATATTTATACATAGAAAATAAATCACTAAAAGTGATGTTAAAGGTAATTTGAAGATTTAATTTATATATCTTAATTATGAAAATATAGAGTGAGCTTTGCAATTTTTTATAAAACGGCTGTGGAATGAGTGTTTTGTCCCTTTGGAGACATTAGATAAAATTTGCAATTTTTTATAAGGGTAAAACAGTAAATCAAAATTTTTTCATGTTAATATACTTTTATTAGTAGTATAGATAGATATAGATTTTTTAGTAGTATAAATATAACCCTAACTTGAATTCCATTTTATTCTTGATCAAATGTTGTAGTAGAAATAAGTTGGGTCACCGTCTTGTTAAAAGTCACGTGTGAAGATTTTTTTGTATATGGTTCAATGTTTGGATATAATCAAAAAATCAAAATTCCTTATTGCATTAATGACATTTCCGATTCACCGTCTTGTTAAAAAATTATGTGTTAATTTTTTTCTGAATATAATCAAAAAATCAATATTTTTTATGCTCTGCTTGGTACGATGTAAAAATGAAATGATGGAAAGTTGGAAGGATATAAATTTGGAGGGATAGATAAAACATCATGTTTGGTAAGGAAACAAAATAGGAAAGAAGGATGGAAAAATAGATGAATGAATTTTCTTTCCAACTCACCAAAATCAATCCCTCCAAAATTAAAAGAAAAGTGGATAAAAAATTAATTATTTGTGTTGTAATGTATTTATTTGTCTATATAGCCTTTGATATATACACATATTATATTTATCAATTATATATTATATATTATATATACATTAATTTCATATATAAATACAATGGAAAAATATTATTTATACTTTTAAAAAAAGTTCAAAATTAAATTAAAAATAAAATAAAAAATATATATTTTCATCTTATCAAGCACAAAAAAAAATTAGTCATTTTCATTTTTCATCCATCCAACCAAACACAAACAGAAAAAAAGTGTATTATTCCTACTTTTTTTTTCTTAGAGGATAGAAAATATATCCTTCTTATAAAACAGAACAATACTGTATGAATAATATTTCTAGTTCACTGTTTTGTTAATAAATTGCATGTGAATATTTTTTTTGCAAATCGTTCATAGTTTGGATATAATGAAAAAAAAAACACACAAAATGCCTTAGTACATGTGAATATTTTTGTTTTGCATATGGTTCACAATATGGATATAATCAAAAAAATAAAATGTCTTAGTGCATGAATGGCGTTTCAGGTTCATTGTCTTGTTTAAAAATCACACGTTAAGATTTTTTTTTTTGCATATGGTTCACTATTTTTTTCAAATTGTTAAAAATGCAAGAATAAGCAAAAAGCACATTGCCAAAACAAATTTTTATGAGTTACATGTAGAACCGCAAGTACTAATAAAGGTAATATTATTATATATATGATTATATAGATGGAAGCATAGTATCGGTATACCAAGAAAAACAAGGAAAAATAAATACTATACAAATTCTATTGTTATTGAATGTTGATTCATTTATTTAATTAATAACCAACATTATTGAGAAATTGAAGAAGAAACTCAAGATTTGTTTTAAAAATATAATATGATAAATATGAACTTTGACTAGCTTGTCTTGCCCGCGAGATTCTCACTAGTGATAGTTACAAAAGCCGATGCATTGTCAATAGAATACCCGTACCGTATCGATACAAGTTATAACCTGTGTTTAAAAGTACGATAAAATATAAAATTCGAGCGCCTAAAAAATTGATCTCATTATATTAAATTTTTTTAACATGTGTATACTATTATATATGAATAATATTTAAAATAAAAATTATATTAACTACAAATTAACCAAATATTAAATAAATAAACATATGATAGAAATGAGTTATGTGATATTTTTAGGGAAGAAATATATAAATAATTAAACATGTGATAAAAATGAGTGACGTGATTTGACGTTTGAGTATGACAGAGGGATGATGAATGAGATAAATGATTGGTGATGGTTTTGAGGAGAAAAATATGACTGAAATAAAATTTAAAGTATGAGCTGGTTTATTATATAAATAGACATGCCACTCGAGAAAACAAATTGGACCTGCCTCCCTGTGTCGGGTCCGGCTCATTTGTTGTTAATTTTTAACAGTATAGGTGTCGTTGATCAAAACGACAACGTCGGTGTTGTTCTTTTTAACAAAACGGCAGCAGAGGATCTTCGGTTCTCTGTGTCTCCTGTCGAAATAAGCCCAACAAAAAGACCACTAAGCAGAAGGTACAGATAAATTCTCAGAAGGGAGAGCATAAAATTTGCAGCTTCATAGCATCAAAGATTTTGCCTTTCAACATCACAATTAGGAGTCCCAGACGTGTTATCTTAACTTGTTTGAAAAAATATGAACATTAAGGATTTGCTAGTTCACAATGTAGACAACTATCGAGCAGTTGGCTTTGTGAGGGAGTCATCGACAGACAAATAATGCTCACTTGCAGCCAGGTCCAGTGAACCTATGTTCAGGCAAGAATGAACAGATTGCCTTGATATATCATCAGAGTTGCCTTCTCTTACTGCTTCTGCTTCCCTTTCAATTGAGATTGCATCTTGGATTTCCTTAATGATCTCTGAGATTGATGGCCTCATACTCCCATGAGGTTGAACACACATCAAAGCTTTTTCGGCTATCTTCCACATTGATTGCATGTCATATTTGTTGCGTAGTGAGGGGTCGATGATTCCTTGAATGTCCCCACTCTCAATATGTAACTTTGCCTGTGATAAGATAAGCAGGTTATAATACATTAATAACAAAAACAAAAAAAAAAAACCTGAGGAAAACTTGTCACTTCTATATCAAGCGGCCGTGGATTTTTCCAATGTCATATCCGTCACGATTCTAGTGATGCCAACAATACCATGATTCAGATAATTCAATTTTATATAGACACACAAAAACAAAATTTTGAAAAAAAAAAAAAAGAATAAGAAAAAGATACGTAAACATAATTCTCAATGTATATTAATCGGTCACCACAATGATTCGAAAGCCACTGATTGCTCAGGTAAATAAATGATCAATCAGACTTTTGGGATTCATAGTTGGCAATAAGAAGGTTAAAAGATTGAGCCTTTTCGGGTTAAATGAACTTACCCACTGGACTATATTACGACAGTTAGTGCCAAAGCTTTCATTAGATATCGCTTCTTGACCAGATATCAGCTCAAGAAGGATGACCCCGAAACTATACACATCACTCTTGTCTGTTAACTGCTGGGATATGTAATACCTGTTTAACAAGAGAGCGGAATTCAAATCAAAATATAATTTGATATCACTGCCCAAGTACTAAGTGCAAACATAACGTCAAAGTTTCGAAAGGCCGTCTACACGCTGCAGGCATCTAACTGCACCATATTTATACACAGTAGTCTAAGTTGATGTTGCTGAAGTAATCCTCTGTGATTGAAAGCAAGTTTAATTAAACCCATGTGAAGAATTTGATGCAAATAAGTACTGGATGTTAGGCCATGTTCCTTAAACTTCATAGTGAACCTTTAACCAATTTGAACCTATGAGATCCTTCTGTGCTATTTTTTTTTTTGAAGGGCATTTTTTTCCAGACCAGGAAGAAATCAAAGACACAATTAGCTTAATTTCCACCAAACTTAAATTCTCTAATTTAATGATGGACACTCCTATTTCCCGTCAAAAAAGATATGTATCTTCCTTTTTGACAAAACATTTAATCCAAAAAAAATGCACGAATTCCAGGTGAAAGAACAGTTTATAAAATAGGCAGCTTTGTTTTCTCACCATGAGCTTTTTTTTGTACCAAAACCAACATCCCCAACATTGTGCAATCAGTTCATCAATTTGAGAACTGTCATGCTCATACATAGATCATATTTTGCTTACTCTACCATTGCTTTGGGCAAATAATCAATCCTATTGGCGAGAAATTGTTTCACTAGTTAACGTGTAAGCCCCACCATATGATTTGTCTGTTTGTATTTGCTCCATTTTCAAAGAGAAAACTTAGTTTGCCCAACCGCCTTGGTTTATCAATGTGGTTGAGCTATGAGTCCCCATCAATCCTCCAAAAGTTCAGAGCATAGCAACAATAACCATGTTACAATGTTTGGTGTATCCCCCCTTTTGTTTTTGCATGTTTAAGCATGGATTGGTATCTGAAGTCTAATATATCTACGATTTCTGGTTGATGTGAAAGATACAGAGATGAAATCATGTTTCTCAGATCATCTTCCTATGGAGACAGTAGTAACCTAGGAAGTACCACTAGTACCATTACCACTAAATTTCCAAACATCTTCTCTTGCTTGATCTTAAGCCAAAAAAGAGGGATTGAGGAGTATGAGAAAACGGCTTACTCAGGATCAAGATAGCCAACAGTGCCTCGAACTATGCTTGACACGTGGGAAGCTCCATCTACTGCTAGTTTTGAGAGACCAAAATCTGAAACCTTTGCCCTGACGTCCTTATCAAGAAGTATATTGCTGGTTTTCAAATCCCTATGGATGATGGATGGAACACAGCCAGTATGAAGGTACTCAATACCTGTAACAAGCATGAGAGCAAAAGAATTCTAGTAATTCATCTGAAGTAAAAGAGGCTTCTCTGTAAAATCAACTTGACAATTCTTTCGCTAATTTACACACCTTTTGCAGCATCTTCAGCAATCTCCAGGCGCTTGATCCAACTAATTCTTTGTTCAAGTGTTAATGGTCCTACCAAAATATATATGTAATTGAGCAAGATCACACTAAATGTTTCCTTTTTTTTCAGTGTTTCTTTTGTTTTTTGGATTATTTTTTGGGGGTGGGGTGGGAGAGAAAGAGAGTCATTACCATAGAGACGTTCTTTGAGAGTTCCATTATGCATGAACTCATAAACAAGTATGCTTTTTCCTTCTTCTTGACAATAACCTAGAAACTGTACCAAGTTTCTGTGATGTATCCTTGAAAGAAGAGTGACCTGGGTCAAATTGCAGCAAAGGTTAGTTCACAAGCATCAGCATCTAATAGAAAAGAATTCAATCTCATACCGGACATTTGTCTTATTTTATTAAGTAATAGTAATAGACCATTTCTAGGGGTCACACTAATCTTTTCCGAATCGTTCCAATTTTATTGGTTACCCCCAAAGGGACAATTATGTATAAATTCCAGTTCCATGTCTGTCGCCAAAATCTAATGCTGCTGTTTTACATTTCATCATTACCACTCAAGATTTTGAATTGCCGACAGCAGTTAAAGTATAGAAACAGATGGTAGCACTTGCAAACAGTCACAATTGAGCATTCAACAAATACAAGAAGCAGGAAAAAAAATGGAGGGGCTCAATAAATTAGTAAAGAATGTTACCTCATTAGAAAATTCCCGCTTGCCCTGGTAGGAATTACTGGTCAGAACTTTCACTGCAATTTCCTTTCCATCTTTCAGTTTTCCATAGTATACAACCCCAAAACCTCCTGAACCAATTTTCTTCTCAAAATTCTTTGTAGCGTCTTCAAGTTCAGATAATGTGAAGCAATGTGCAGCTTCTGTGGCAGATTTACCCAAGGAAAAAACAAGCCTCTGAGTGGACATGCCATGTTCAAGCTGGTCTGGAAGAAAGAAAGACAATATACTGATGTTAAAAGCCAACCACTATAACAATACACGATCTGTTAGGAAATTTGCACGAAATTTCTAAACCTGTGAGAAACAAAAACTAGAGAAATCACACGCCAAAGAAAAACAATCACACGCACAAGACAGTATTTACGTGGTTCGGTAATTTGCCTACTGTTGGAGATATAGCAACAGCCTAGTTTATTAGGGTTTTATTAAGTTTTCCTTTTTTACCTTTTTGTCCTTATGGTAACTCTCATTGACTATATATACAGGGACTCTACACTTAGTTTGTATCCCTTTTTCATTCACGTTGTATTTCAAGTTGGTATCAAAGCCTAACCCTAACCCTAGCCCCCCCGCTAAACATCGGCACAACCTCCATCACCTTCAACATCGACACACAGCCTGCAACAACAGACGGACTGCCAAACCATACCTAGTAGCACTGAAACATCATACCCACCAACAGCAACATAGCAACTAACCTACACCGACCGCCAAACCAGTGCCGAAAAACTGACAGCCACAACAACCGAACCAACGAAGTCGTCTCCGTGCCGAAACAACATACTTCACTAAGCCCACTGCCCAGACCACCTATAACCACCGACTGCCCAGCCAACATTACCCACACCGACAGCCAATATATACCATCAACAACCAGACCACACCGATAAACCCATCACCGACTGCCTTTGTTTCAGTGCCGAAAAATCAACATAAATCAGCCCAGCAAACCATCACCGACTCAATAAAATAAGCAAAGCCCAACCAAAGCCCAAACGAACCAAAAACCCAAAGCCCAACCAACCCACTGCCCAACCAGCCTAATACCCACTCTAGTGAACCAGTCCACCGCCAAATCGCACTCTTCCTTGCAGCTTCGTGTTTTACCTTCGTGCGCCACGTTTTTTGTCGTAGTGTTGCCATCTATTTGCGCCACTACCTTCTTTTTCCAACCTTTTAAAGAGGGGATGAATCTTCTTATCTGATGATCTACCCTTGATGCAGTAGATCACTTATTTATATATTTTGGATTTCTGAGCACCGTGACCTGATTATTTGGGAGCTTTTTGGACCTTCTTTATTTGTCGCTACTGTTCGACTGAAGGTATATTGTTCTCCCTTATTTTATTCCTCTATTTATCTTAGAGTTGTTTTTCTGTCACGGGTGCCCTAGTATTGTTGTTGATATGGCTACTACTAAGGGACTTGAGAACCCTACTGTTGACACCTCTACCGTTGAGACATCTATGGGTACTTCCACTTTTATGTTTGACCAGTATACAGTACCTACTAGCACAGTTGCATTACCAGCACTACCGGGCATGATCTCTCAAAAAGTTACGGCACAGTTGTTGAATGGTCGTAACTTTGCTGAGTGGTCTCGCTCATTCCAGCTTTTCTTAGGCCGTGTAGGGAAGCTTGGTTGGCTGACGGGATCTCACCCAAAGCCAACTGATGCCGACCCTGGATATTCTGCGTGGTTCTTTGAGAACTGCATCATTCTTGGATGGTTATTTGGCTTGATGGAGCCATCTGTTTGCAGGATCCACCAGTTTCATAGCTCTGTTCCGAAGCTATGGAGCGCACTATCAGAGATGTATTCTCAGTCAGGACGGGGAGTTCGTGTTTATGAGCTTTTCTCAGGAGCTCTCATATGCTCGGCAGGGAGATATAACCGTTCAGGATTATTATGGCTATTTGACCCAGCGCTGGCTTGAGTATGAGACTCTACGTCCTCTTGCTGCTATTCCGAAGATAGAGCCCGAGAGAGTAGCATTCTTGCATACTCGAGAACAGGAGGATAGGATTCACAACTTCCTTATGGGGCTTCGTGATGAGTTTGAGGGACCTCGTTCTCAGATCTTGTCGATGTTGACACTTCCTTCTCTTTATGAGGTGTATGGATGATTGAGCAGCATGAGCGTCGAGTCCGTATTGCATCACTTCCAGTTGCGGCTTTGACTCCTTCGGCTGACCAGATGGCCCTTGCAGTTGTTGCAGGGTCTCGTTCAGGATCCTCAGTCAGGGGTGGGCAGCGCTCGGATCAGCGCTGTCATGGTGCCTCAGATCAGCGCAGACAAGGGAATTCTCGTCAGGGTGCCTCAGATCAGCGCAGACAGGGGATTCCCGTCACTGTGATTATTGTGCCCGATCAGGACATCTCAGGGCTACTTGCTGGAAGCTCCATCCAGAGCTTAAGCTACCTCCTCGCAGCCGTACTGTTGCTATTGCTGAGGTACCACCACCCACTACTGCTACTCTTGCTGCTGCTGCTCCACCTTGGCAGAGTGATATGGATGCTATCACTTCCCGATTAGATATACTTATGTCTGCTCTGACTTCTCAGAGTCTGACTACTACTGCTGTCACCACTACAGGTATACCTCGTGCCTTTCACGTTTGTGCCAATTCATCTCCCCTTTGGATGTTGGACTCGGGTGCGAATGGTCACATGACAGGTGAAGCCCATCACTTCACCACTTTTGACGAGCAGTTACATACACAGGTTCAGTTAGCAGATGGGACCCATGCCCCTATTGTTAGTAAGGGTACAGTCCGCCTCCCAGACGGCCTTACATTACGTTCGATTTTTCATGCGCCAAAGTTGGCCATGAATCTATTATCTGTACATCAGTTAGCCAGAGATTTTCACTGTGCGGTTGTATTCTTATCTGATTCGTGTTATTTGCAGGACTTGAGTACCAGGAGGATTATTATCAGAGGACATGAGAAAGATGGACTGTATTATCTTGGCAATCCACCTCCAGTTTCACCAATTCCTCCACCTACATCACCTGCACCTGCTTTGTCTTTTTCTGTTCCTAGCTTGCATGCTAGTATTTTACCTAGTAGTTATCGTTATGATTTTTCGTCACAAACTGTTCAGTTGTGGCATAACCGTTTTGGATATACAAATTTTAAATATTTATGTATATTGTTTCCTGCTTTGAGCAATGCTTGTGTTGGTGGTAAACTTGACTGTGTTATATGTTCCCTATCGAAACATGTTAGGACCAGTTATATTTCTCGCATGCACCAGTCACCTAAGCCATTTGACCTAATACACTCTGATATTTGGGGACCCTCTCCCGTTACTGCTTTGTTAGGTGCCCGATATTATGTGACATTTATAGATGACCATACCCATTGTACTTGGGTCTATCTTTTGCATAAAAGGTCTAATGTACTTCCTATAATTACTCAGTATTTACAAATGATTAAGACACAATTCGATGTCATTGTTCGTGCTCTTCGTTCAAATAATGCCAAAGAATATGTGTCTGATGCCTTAGTGTCTCACCTTTCTTCTCAGGGTATTCTTCAGCAACTCACTTGTTCATATACTCCTGAGCAAAATGGTGTTGCTGAAAGAAAAAAATAGGAGTTTGATAGGGATGGTACGTTGTATGCTTAGAGGCATGAGGGTACCAAAATCTTATTGGCATTTTGCTGTTTTGACTTCTACCTTTTTGTGCAATCGTACGCCGAGTCGTGTTCTTCAGCAAAAGCCTCCCTTACAGGTCTTATTTCCTGAGCAGACACTTTTTTCGGTCCCCTCTCGTGTTTTTGGATACACATGTTTTGTTCAGGATCGGTCTCCTACTCGTCATAAACTTGATGATAAAGCGATTCGTTGTATCTTTGTGGGCTATTGTCATCAATCTAAAGGGTATCGGTGTTATAATCCTATTAGGCGCCGTATATATCACAGTCTAGATGTTACCTTTCTTGAGCATATTCCTTATTTTCCTCCCAGTCCTGTGTCTGCCCCTCCAGTTGATGATACTCCCTTTGATTTTTCATTACCACAGGAGTTAAAGTCATTGGCCATTATCCCTACAGGGTTATCTGTTTCTCCTCCTTCAGAGCCACTCATCTCTGTCAGTACAGAGTTACCAGTCTCTCGTCCTTTGCAGGTGTATGTTCGTCGCCCTCACTCTCATCACCCTGCTGATGTCCCCTCTACCTCAGGCGATGCAGGTAATACTTCTCAGTTTGTTGAGCATATTGATGCACCTGTTGTTAGTACTGATGAGATTGCAGGTGCTGAGCCAATTCATTTACCTGATGAGACATTATCAGTGGAGGAGTATGATTTAGGGCGTCGTTATCCGCGGTGTGATCGCCGTCCAGTTGATCGTTATAGTTGGACCGCCAGGATTTTATATCCGATCTCTGCTTATGTTTCTATGGTGATCTGTCTCCCACATTTCGAGCTTATCTATGGCCTTATCAGACACGCCGGTTCCTCGCTCTATTTCGGAGGCTATGCGGGAGCCCCAATGGGTTCTTGCCATGCAGACAGAGATGGACGCTCTTCAGCGTAATCATACATGGGATCTTGTCTCCTTACCTTCAGGGGTGAAGCCTGTTGGCTGTCGCTGGGTTTACACCCTGAAGTTTCTTGCGGATGGTACTATTGATCGTCACAAGGCTAGACTTGTGGCGAAGGGCTTTACTCAGGTACCAGGTAGTGATTTTGGTGCTACATTTGCCCCCGTGATAAAATTGACTACTGTTCGGTTGATTATTTATCTGGCTGCGGAGTACTCTTGGCCTTTTCATCAATTAGATGTGAAGAATGCATTTCTTCACAGTGATCTGGACGAGATTATTTATATGGATGCACCACCGGGCTTTTGTGGTGAGGGGGAGTATGCTGGAAAGGTATGTCGACTGCGTAAGTCTCTTTATGGACTGAAATAGTCGCCACGAGCCTGGTTCTCTCGCTTTAGTGATGTAGTCGTACGATTGGGGTTCACCAGGTGTCATTCTGATCATACCTGCTTTATTCGACGGAATACTTCTGGACAGTATGTCATTCTTCTGGTATATGTTGATGATATTATTATTACTGGTGATGATATTTCTGGGACTGCGCAGGTCAAGATAGACCTTGGGAAGGCCTTCGATGTGAAGGACCTTGGATTTCTACGATACTTTCTTGGGATTGAGGTTGCCCGTAGCGGCAGGGGTGTTGTTCTTTCTCAAAGAAAGTATGTTTTGGATCTTCTTTCAAACACTGGGATGTTGAGGTGCAAACCGACATCATCACCCATGATTCCAAACCTGAAGCTTACTGTTGAAGGTGAGGAGTTGAAAGATCCGACAGTTTATCAAAGATTGGTAGGTAGACTTATCTACTTAGTCAATACTAGGCCGGACATTTCATTCGCAGTCAGCCGAGTTAGTCAGTTCATGCATAGGTCATGTCAGCCTCATCTTGATGCAGTTTATCATATTCTTCGGTACCTCAAGTCTTGTCCTGGACTTGGGTTGTTTTATGTATCAGGATCTCAAATCGGTTCTCTAGCCTGTTATTCAGATTCAGATTATGGGGGAGCATGTGATGGTCGATCTACTACGGGCTTCTGTGCTTTTCGAGGGACTCATCTTATCTCTTGGAAGAGCAAGAAGCAGGTAATTGTCTCCCGCTCGTCAGCAGAGGCAGAGTATCGGGCACTGGCACTTGACACGTGTGAGATTATCTGGCTACGATCGATTCTTGGCGAGTTGGGTTTTTCAGTGACTTCTTATTCCACATTATATTGTGATAATCGATCTGTTATTTAGCTCGCTTCTGACTCTGTACTACATGAGAGGACGAAGTATATAGAGATTGATGTTCACTTTCTTCGGGAGAAGGTTAGCAGTGGTATTGTCACTCCATCGTTTGTGGGAACCAGTGATCAGGTTACGGATGTTTTTACCAAACCTATCACTCTGTCTATTCTTCGGGACTCCGTTGTCAAACTTGGCTTAGTTGACATTTTTGCGCCTAACTTGAGGGGGAGTGTTGGAGATATAGCAGTAACCTAGTTTATTAGGGTTTTATTAAGTTTTCATTTTTTACCTTTTTATCCTTATGGTAACTCTCATTGACTATATGTACAGGGGCTCTACACTTAGTTTGTATGCCTTTTTCATTCACGTTGTATTTCAAGTCCTACGTCCACGAAACTGCAGGAATTTCACTATTGAGAAGAAGGAATATGGCGGCCGTACAGTATCAGTCAACCCTAATCACCAAAAAATAACATGTTTTATATGTCCTGCACCGGACTACTAAACAGGCCCAAAAAAATTTTCTCAGGAGTGTTGCCCCGGCCCCCCACGAGGCTCGTTCATGAGCGCTCTCAAAAAATTTTCCATTAAAAACCACGCAAATTTATTTAGGGTCGGGTCATCATCTGGATCAACACAAAAACTAGACTCCACAAAAGCCCAACACATTATGAATAAGAAACTATACCATTTTGACCTCGCTTAGGATATTTCTTCTTTCCTTTATGCATTAACAGGTAAGAGGCTATAGTAGCAATTAGCAGAACGGAAGCTCCAACTGTTGATCCAATTATGATTTTATTCTGGCTCCCTCTGCTGCTCCCTTTCCGTATATTGATATTTCCAGCGTAGCTGAAAAAATTAAACTCAAATCAAATATAGAGGTGAAAATATTTTGGTGGTCCTATAAAAATGAAGATATGACACAAAGAAGAGGAGTTTGAAACATTCTGAGGAAAGACATTGATGTCTGAACATATGCATAGATTAAATCAACAGGATACTGTAATATGTAGCTGGTGTTTTATAGCTTTCAACTAACTATACTTTTGGAGACTGGAATAAGTCAATTCGTGTGCAAAATTATGAGGTTAGGGCTTTCACTTCGCATATGTTGACAAGTCAACTTTTTGAATCGTCACCTTGCTGCAGAGGAAAAAGCTTCCACAATCCGTGGTATCAAAACAGGTCTTGATGTCAAACTGAATCCGTGGTATCACTGTTGAACTATGTCCACTTACACTTTTTGTAATACATAGTAGATGCAATTTGGAAGAAGAAATGTCAAAGCGACAAATTTGAGTGCATTAAACGATGGTTCTCTGTAGAATTAACTGTTTAGGGATCATAATTAAAACAAAATCTCTTGAAAAAAGAAAAGATTCATATCTCAGTACAAGAAAGGAGGCAACCACTTCAAATTGTCTTCCTTAGTCAGGTTCCCTTCCTTCCATATTGCAATAAATTGAGTTTTCTGCTCTCAGCATGCTTACTTTGGGAACAGAATGCAATTGGGGAAGGGTGGGGAGTAAGAAAAAAAATGGGAGTTCCAAAATGATGATGTAGATGCAACTCTAAAATGATTTAAAGTTGATAGGACATAGCTAACAAAGTGGATCACGCAACAAGAGAACTGGAGGACAGGACAGTGATAAAATATTTAGTCCTTCTGAATCTTTATGTGTCCTTGGAACCCTTAAAAGTTTTTGACAGAGGGTTGGGGAAAGAGAGTGCTTTAGGGCCTATGTCTAGCTTTAGTCCTATCTTGGTCAGTCAATTAAAGGTCCTCACCTTGGACTTAGTTGGAAAGGTAGGTGTTCGGCATGTCCCCATTGCTTACGAATTTCTTTAGTAGGGCAGTTTGAAGGTCTCATTCCTCACGTTTACCATTGTCCCCAGACTTCACTCTTTCAACACTTGTATATTCCCTGTAAGTGAAATACGGGATTCTAATGCTTCCATAGTTTTCCGTTCCTCCTTTTTTTTTTTTTTTTGGATGGTGGGGTGGGGGGGGGGGGGGGGGGGGATAATTTTGTTATCCAGAAGCTAGGCTCTCCATTTTTGCCAACTTAGTCCAACTGCCCCGCACAGCCCCGTGCGGGGTTCCATCCATTTTTATGAACTTCAACTCTTAAGAGAACTCTCTCTCACCCGTAGTATACTTGTGTCAGGCACTAATAACTGTCTCTATCCTTACAATTGCACTAATAAGAGAAACAAATGGAATAAATATAATAACAAAAAAGATCTAATGGGTTGCCACATATTTATGAGGCAATGGCACTAGAAGATGTAAGCATATAAATGATCTCATCAGAGTTAGCAACATAAACATTCCATTGCATGCATCCAGATTTCATTAGTAAGAAATGACACTCACTTCAAAACCAGATTCTTATTCAGAAGACCTGACGGCACAGTTCCAGATAACATGTTGTTCTGCACATACCTGCAGCCCATAGATCCATTAAAGAAAGCAAGAACCTTTAACTCGGAGGCAACAGAAAAAATGTTAAGTGAGATAAAACACAAAAGACCAAAGATATAGCACAAATAACTTTTTTAGCATCAAGGGAGGCAGTCTGTGCCCAGCATCTCAAGGATCAACTAAATTTGTGTTCTTTTTCTTTTTCCGCAAAACTTAGGGGGAAAATTATCTCTCACCAAGAAGCATTAGCTATGGTAAAATAAATAATTTCTCATTTGATGTGAATTTTTGCTATGGTAAACCAACCTATTATGCACTAACAGCATACAGATTCGAATTCTGCAAACTTACAGTTCTCTCAGATTTGGTAGGTTCACTAAGGAGGAAGGCAGGTCACCAGTCAACTGGTTGTTCTCAAGATGCCTACAAGCAAATATCACCAGTTAGCTGAAGCTTTTGATGAATGCAATGGTTACGTGAAAAAAAACAAAACATATTATTCACATTATCTTCAAGTTCGTGCATCCAGTAAAATCAGGAATTTCGCCACTCAGTGAATTCCCATCAAGCCATCTGCGATCAAAAGAAAAGTAAATGCAAATGCTATAAGTGACATCAAGTAATTCATCACCAAGCAAGGAAACTTTTTTCTTTAAGAGTAAAATGAAGCTTACAACTCAACCAAGCCGCTCAATTTTGTCAAGTCTGAAGGAATACTCCCCATCAAATTCTGCCTTGACAATTTACTGCCGAATTACAAGTGATACAACCGATTTGATTATATCATTGACGATTTATTAAGATATTGTATGGATCACAGTACCAAAAGTCAGCATTTACACGTTTGTCTGTGCATTACATAGATGAATATATATGCACATATAAACTTGAGATAAAATAATCCAATTTTAAGAGTAGCAATACAACATCCTTGGCATTACAAGGTTTGAATAGTATGAAAAGGAGGAAAACCTTTACATTGAAACTATCCTTGGTTGAGCATCTGAGTTGCACTGTACCCAGGACCATGGAACTGGCAGGCATGGGTCCCCACCTTCTTTTGCCCAGTCTGCAGATGAGAAAAGTGAGGCTACACCAGCAATAACTGATCCTGCAACTCATCGATACTCGTATCAGATATGCCTTGTTAGAGCTAAAAGCTCAAATGAAAGGTTGTAATTTGCATAGCTTAACTACAACCCATTTTTCTTTTTGTATGAAGGAAAAAAGGCATCGATGCAAAAAACCAACGTCGCCAATAGAAGTAAGTGACCATCAAATTCCAAAAAACCAAAAAAATTATCAGTACACAGACTCAAGGAAGTAAAACTATGCTTACCATCTAAAGAACCATCACTTTTCTTCACATACTTATTTATCTCCATTGCATTCAGGAGAGGTCCCATGGTAGAATCAATTGTCTTCCCAAATCTAAAAGATAGCACAAAGGGGAAGGATATGTTTTCATAGCCCGGCTCATAAAGACGATATTTTCCTTGAGCATTTTCCTGAATATTAACAGTAGCTTTACTAACATCGGGCATGTCTGGGAGTACTAGCCTAAATTTTCTGGTATCAAATGGACCCAAATCTTCAATTTCTGCAAAGTAGGTGAACGCCCAACCAAAACCTGGAAACCCATCCAGGTTCAAGCGGTATGTTAATGATCCATTTCGGCCAACTACAGCCGTTTGCATTACTTTCTGAGGAGGTCTTTCACCAAGACTAACATCGATTGGCATTCGGGTTGATACTTTTTCAGTTCCAGCAGCAACATCAACGAGGTAATTTGCTTTCTTCAAAGAGTCAGACTCCCATATTCTATCATATGGGTCATCAGGAAACCTGAGACAAACTGATCATAGTTTATCTACAAACAATGCAACAAGCACTCAGACAAAAAATAACATATTCCCCACAATTGATCCTTTCCTGCCTTTGGAATTATTTGAGTAACTCGATCTGTTTTCATTTTTATTAGAACTAAAGGTATACCAGAAAATAACTGGAGATTTGCTCATTTTTATTACCCCGTTACCGTAACATCTCTAATCTGAAAATCTGGAGCGTACCTGATAGGGTCTTCATTATCCGCACCAAAATTTATCCTTGCAGACACACTAAGAAAGAACTGGTTCTCAAATTGAGTAAGGTATATGGAACCATTAAATTTCCGGAGCTCAAGTGTAGAGATAAATGGCAGCCCAGTCGTAGCATTAGACAAGCATACACTAATGGTAGGATTTGTAGCCAGAAATATCAACTCTTCAACCTCTATTGTATAAGCATCCGAAATGACTATGGTAGCCCAGTGAGTTGCCCCAAGGGAGATGTCAAACTTTGGATAAACATTATTGTTGTCAAAGTTACCATACAAGAAGGTCGCTCTTACAAGGTATCTAGTCCTACTTGTGACTTCAAGTGTGTAACAATACTTTCTGCTATCTGCGGGGAAGTATCTCAGTGTCATGTATTGCTTCCTTGTCTCATTTGCTACAGAAATATTAGTTGCTTCTCCATAGATGATTTGACTATCCGGAGTCCACACAAGGCCAAGTTCATCGGTGAAATTATCTTTACCACCACAGTCCAAACTTACAAAACCTGCTTCATAAGATCAAGTTTTTCAGCATTAGTCAAGCAACCGGTAGACATGATTATCACCTCAGTTCAAGACTCTTGTCCACAACTTTATTCAAAACTTCACTATGGTATGGATGAACCTCAGGATCAAAATGCATTACATTGCATTACATCTCCCTTCCCAATATAGGTCAAAGAAATTGTAAAAACTGTAAATTGGTCGTGTCCAGCAACTACACAGAGAATAATGAAAAATGCGAAAGACACAATAATTGTGGTAAATAGGTTAGCACTTATAACCACACATAAATATTAGACTTTTTGTCAATATCTAAAGCATTTTATGGCACCAGTTCATGTATTTGGTAAAAGAGTCAAAGGAGTCGAGTGTGTTTGTATGTAATCCAATCAAAGAAATTATGATCCTACCAGCCTGATCGACTACAAGAAACATTTTTTTCCATTACTTGTTCTCATGCTGTTATTTGGGGTGACCATACAAAGCCTGGGCTGTCAAGTGTGAGGGCACTACATCTTCTCTTCGCCTACCAAAGACAACGCATTAGCAAGATCAATGCTAGGTAACGGACTAAATTTCCCCATTTGGATGACTGGATAACATCTTTTACTGAACTATAAGATCGCATGTTCATTGTTCTATGGGGGCCAACTGATGCAAAAATACCTGATAGGAATTCGTCACAGATAATTATGAATGATACCACTCCTTACTTTCAATTCTTCATTCTTGCCACACATGACTAACCCAACTGTAACAATTTTTTCTTATCTTTTCTGATCAGGCACAAACTCTTCTCATTTTGTGGCAAAATTAATATAATCATTTGGTTCTCAAAAATTCAATCATTCCCAATTATCCTGTACAGTTTTGCTGCTGGCAGTTGTCCATCTTAGCACTCATTATCTCCAAGCTCGCATAACAGTTGTAATGCTTTTTCATTGACAGACTTCAAGTCCATTATCTCAAATTTTACTGTGGTTTTTAACACAAAGAAGCAATGTTATATTTTGATGATATTTTGAAATTTCTACGGCTGAAACTTGTCACTAAGTTTGAGAGCTCTCAAGCAAGAGGTATGCCCATTGTTTTTGTGCTTTCATGGGCAGAATACACTGGAGGAAAATTTTCCTATTTCATGGAGACAATAAGATACTAAATGTAATACTATTTCAATTTTTGATTAGACTAGAAATTGTTGAAGAATTGGCCAGAAGGCCTTGTCCTTTTGTGGCCTGAAAATCAGATGGCACAAAAGTCTTTGAGATGGCATTAAAGCCATGCTCATGGGCTGCCAAAATGAAGGCTTGTCTGGTGGCTCAATCACGCATAGATCTAATTGCGCATCTGATAGCTTTGACTGTTCCTCTCTTGAATTCCTATATAAAGGGGGTTCAGGCAGAGGGTTAAAGGCATCAGAACTCATAAGCATTTCTGAGCGTAGAGGTGTGAGACATCTGAGAGTGAATGATATCCAAGTGATATCAGTGAGTTCAGAGTGCATTCTCTCTAGTAGGAGTGAGTACTTACGAGGCCAGATACAACTATTCTTGTATTGTTATTTTACTCCATAGTGAAAACATCCGATCGTTGTTTGTCGTGGACATAGGCAATAGCCTAATCACGTAAATCTTTGGTGTTATTTTTTGTGTGCCTTATTTTCTTATTTATTTTGTGTCACCTTATTGTTTACATTGGTACTCAAATCTAGGGCCTTGTTACAACAAATTGGTATCAAAGCATTGTTGGTGGGCCCAGATATTATTCATCGGCACTATTCACAATTGGTGGGCCCGAGCCTATTTGTGGGGCCCGATAATTGTTGGTGGCCCTGGGTACTATTGACATGGCACTATTCATGAGTACTATTCACTGACGCTGACAACTCAATTTTGCTAAAATTTTTTGATTTGAGATTTTGCGATGACTGCAAAGTTCGAAGTAGAAAAATTTGATGGAACAAATGATTTCAGCACGTAGCGCTTAAAGATGCGTGCCTTGTTGGTTCAACAAGGATTGCTGAATGCCATAGAGAAAAATGATGCAATAGGGATAGATGCCTTCCCAACAACAATGTTAGACGACGACAAGAAGGATATTTAGGCAAACGCTCACAGTGCTATCATATTGAGCCTTAGCAATGAGGTATTGCGGGAAGTTGCTGGCAAAACTATGGCCACGGGTTTGTGGCTAAAGTTGGAGAGTCTGTACATGACAGTCTCTCACGAACCGTTTGTATTTCTTAAAGCGTTTATTCATTCTCCAAAAGCAAGAAAGTACACCTGTCCAGGACCATCTTTATGAGTATAACAAAATCATGTTAGATCAAAAGAACATTGATTATACATTCGATGATGAAATTCAAGCCATGATTCTCATGTGTTCTTCACCACCCTTGCACGAGCACTTTGTCGATACTATGATGTATGGTAGAGAGACCCTTTCCATGGAAGATGTAAAGGCAACCTTGAACTCGAAAGAGTTAAAGAATTGGGTGTTTGAAAATAGAAACGGAAGCTTAGGCGAAGATTTAGTTGCAAGAGGAATATCAACGGAGAATGGCTCAAATAGCAGAGGCTGATCTAAATCCTGGGGAGGATTTAAAAAAGTTAAATGTTTTCCTTATCTCGAGGAAGGGCGTATTAGGAAAGATTGTCTGAAGCGTAAACGCAAAGCAAAGATTGAAGACTTAAATTCTAGTAACGTTGCCAATGTTGCAGAAAAAGATTCTGCTAATGCTGATGTACTCACGTGTTCAACCAACAGCTCAGGTGAGGAGTGGATTCTTGATTCGGGTTGTTACTTGTTCCTATCATATGTGTCCTAATTAGGACTGGTTTGCCACCTATCAATCAATTGATGGAAGTAATGTCTTAATGAAAAATAATGTAGCCTGTAAGGTTGTTGGGATAGGGACAACACGGATCAAGATGTTTGATGGTATTGTGAGGACTCTTATAAATGTCAAGCATGTTCCAGATCTAAGGAAAAATTTTATTTCCTTGGGTATGTTTGACTCCAATGGCTGTACGTAAAAAGTTGGAGGTGGAGTCATGAGGATTTGTAAATGTGCTCTTGTTGCGATGAAAGGGCAAAACCAGAATGGTCTGCATTTGCTGCAGAGTAGCACAGTGGCAGGTGCAACTGCTGCAGCTTCATCTTCAGATTCAAGCTCAGACACTACCAAGTTATGGCATATGTGATTAGGGGATATAAGTGAGATAGGACTAGATGTGCTAAGCAAATAAGGTCTGCTGTGTGGCCAGAAGACTGGAAGGATGAACTTTTATGAGCATTAAAGTTCAATACGGCTATACATCAGACTAAGGGTACTTTGGATTATATCTATTTTGACCTTTGGGACCCTCTCGTGTTCCTTCTCTTGGTGGTGGAAGGTATATATTGACCTATATTGATGACTATTCTAGGAAGGTCTGGATATTTATATTGAAGTACAACAATGATGTCTTTGGAAAGTTCAAATAATGGAAGACTATGATCGAGAAGCTGACAGGAAATAGATCAAGCACTTGCAAACTGACAATGGCATGGAATTCTGTCGAGGTGCTTTCAATGAGTTCTGCAAGAAAAAAGGGATCGTGAGACATCACACGGTGAGAAAAACACCACAACAGAATGGGATTGCAGAACGAATGAACAGAACTCCCTTGGAGAAGACACGATGCATGCTCTCAAATGTTGGTCTATCCAAGAAGTTATAGCTTGTTATCTTGTTAATAGGTCTCCATCGACAACTATCGAGAATAAGACTCCTGAAGAGGTTTGGTCCGAGTCTCCTGCAAGTCACACTGATTTAAGAGTATTCGGTTGTCCGTTTATGCTTTATGTGAATGATGGTAAACTTGAGTCGAGGGCAAGGAAGTGCATATTTCTAGGGTATGTAGATGGGGTGAAAGGTTATAGATTGTGGTGTGCAGACACTAAACCAACCAAATGTATTGTTAGGGATGTGACTTTTAATGAGTCTGCTATGCTTGAACCCAAGAAGGAGAAGTTTCTTGATACTGAAAAAGACCACAGTGTCAGCAAGCAGGTGAAGCTTGAAGTGGAAGCTCCAAAGAACTTGCAAGAAAATTTGCAGGATGATGTCCCAGTCTGGCAAGATGCAGAAGAGGAACAAGACTCTGATGCGGCTCCGCAACAACAAGGATACATGCTTCCTAGGGGCAGAGAAATGAGGCAGATTAAGCCACCCCAAAGATATGGGTACAAGGATCATGTTGCCTATGCACTTAGGGTGACAAAAAATGTTGAGGCTCACGAGCCGGTCACATATCATGAAGCCATCAGTAGTGAAAATTTTGCAGACATGATGATGTAGGTAGTTCCAACAAGTAAGTTCGAACATTGCCTGGACTTGATCAAATCGTACCAATTTGAGCGCCTTGTGAGGCACATTGTAGATGACGACCGGAAAAGAGTTTTCAGATGACTTAAGCGGCTTTTGTCTACTGTGGAGAATTGTTGAAAAAGTGGCCAGAAGACCTTATCCTTTTGTGGCCTGAAAATCAGATGGCACAAAAGTCTTTGAAATGGCATTAAAGCCATGCACATGAGCTGCTAAAATGAAGGCTTGTCTGGTGGCTCAATCACGCGCAGATCTGATTGCGCATCTGATAGCTTGGATGGTTCCTCTCCTAAATTCCAATAAAACAAGGGTTCAAGCAGAGGGTTAAAGGCATCGGAACTCAAAAGCATTTGAGCATAGAGAGTTGTGAGACGTCTGAGAGTAAGTGATACCAGTGAGGTCAGAGTGCATTCTCTCTAGTAGGAGTGACTACTTGCAAGGCAAGATACATTTATTCTTCTACTGTTGTTTTACTCCACAGTGAACATCCGATCATTGCTTATCGTGGATGTAGACAATAGCCGAACCACATACATTTCTCGTGTTCTTTTGTGTGTACCTTATTTTCTTTTTTATTTGGTGTAACCTTATTGTCTACCTTGGTACTCAAATCTAGGGCCCTGTCACAACAGAAATGCTGTTAAACCCATATTAAATATCTTCATAATGAGCCAGCATCATTCTTGATTAAACTTATTGGATTCCCCTAATGTGGAATTCGCATTTTTAGCAAGATCACAACTAATTTTTGCACAAAATCACATGCAGGACTCCAGAACCTCAATAGAACAATGCATGAGTGACAAGCTGCAACATGGGCAGGTAAGAATATAAAGGAAAGAGCCACCTTCTGGGAAAAATTCCTCCTTGCTAGTTAAATACTTTTTGTGTAGTTATAAAGTTAAATGTTGAGTTATGAGCACATGTTTTTTATTGAATTGACTGCACCACAAATTTTTGAAAGTATTTACTAGCAATGTCACAACATTTCCAAGTTTTCTAGTTTTTCCATTTTCCTCTTCCATCTTCCTCGAGATTGTGAAGACATACATCACTATTTTTCGGG